CCCCAAAACCCCAAAACCCCAAAACCCCAAAACCCCAAAACCCCAGCTAATGGACAGTTAATTGAATGTTGAATTAATAAACTAATCAGATGAATCTTTTAAATTGGTGACCTTCATTATATCTATTTGAAGTTTGCCCAAGATTTTGTTTTCGAAAGCAGAATTCTTCGCATTTCATCTTGATCCACCTCGGATTCGAATTTTTGAGATCCGCGTGTTGATGCACTAGTTTTCTGGTCTACACTCTCATCGGTATGGCCTCTTTTTAGCGTTAAAGAAGCTGAAAACTCCTGTTCTGTTTTATCACGTTCGACTCAAATGCAGTCTAGAGTTTTAAAAGTTAGTTATACATGTTTCTTAAACATGATTGAGTGAAGAAATGAAGGATGAAACAAGAGATGTTTGATCAAAAGGATTCTCTACTAGTCGGTAGAAGTTTAATGAAATGAGGTATTCTTTCACCTTATGTAACGCAAGTCTATTAACTAGGTTTCATGCTAGATCTTCATTATATTCCTTTTTCATATCAATTTTTATTTTAATGATAATGTCCATGGATCTTACTTTTACTTAATACTTCTTCTCACCGGGGTCAAACAAAATCAGAATTGGGACATGATTTGGAGGGCTCTGAGGCATATTTTTTCTTATTTTTATGCCTCTTGATATCGCATCCATTAGGACATCTACTATTCTTCTTTTTGTTACAAAGACCTACAATTTAGTGAAGAATCTTACCATTTTTACAAACGAATTTTCTTCAACATTTCAGCTGAGAAAATTTATTGGTGAATTGATTACATTGCGAGCATAACTCAGTTCCGAGCTCTATAGTCAAATTAAGTTACACTCTTAATATGAATTTATTCGAAAAATTTCACAATTTTTGTAAGTTACTCACCTTCTACAGATCCTCTCTTCGGGAGGTTCATTTGCACTTTATCTAATCTTTCCGCATTTCATACGTTTCATGAAACAGTAGCTCCCATTTCTGTAAATTATTATAAAGAAGTTTCCATGCTCTTAAGTAATAAGGGGTTTTGGGGTTTTGGGGTTTTGGGGTTTTGGGG